ATCCCTTTTATGACTTTTATGAAACCATTCTTACCTTGACAGCTTCAGGCATTTTTTCAAATTCTGCGAGCTCTCTGATCATACTCATAAAAATTGGCGCATCTGCTGGAGTAGCACGATTCACTCGCACCGCCATTACCTAAATGTGAGCAGCATAAAGTGAAAAAAGATAAAGGTTTCATTGACAACAAGCCCATTTCTGGTATGAGCCACACATTCTTCATGTTTATTTTTAGAATTGTAACATCACTTAAAAACAAAGTTCCTAATTGATAATTTGGTATTAGCCCGCTCATAAATGAAACAAGAAGGGCTAAGAGAACCGTCAGTGAGGGTGAAAGGAACTATAGGAAACGCTGAAGTTAAACGCCGCTTTCCCTTTAAAAGTCGACCGCGGCGCGATGGAGAAATATAGTGTGGGTGGGAGAGGGAACGCAAGAGAGAGCACTTCGTACGAGAGGGTGCAGACACCAAGTAAGTTGCGAACGAGTGAAAACGGCAAGGATCAAAGCCGTAAAGACAGGGCTTTAGCACTGTTGTAGTGTTTTTTATTTGCTTCAGTGCTTTGTCTTCTGTGCTTATATGCCCTACTACCCCACTCACGGAGAGTATGCTCTAGGGAGCTAATCGCGATCCGTGCCACTGATCGGACGTTGCTTATACAACGACCTGCTAGGTGATGCTAGTCAGAGTTGAGTTTTTGTCGCCAGACCACTGTCGTGTTTATATCGAAGAAATGTAAGATTTGGTCAGCCTGGGCGAGATTCCATCTGAGAATTTAATCCCCGCGGCGTGTACGCAAAGCCTCTATTCTATTACATCCCTCCACGCGATATTAGTCTAAGCCCCAATCCTAATTCGACAAAACTCAATTGTAAAATTGAGGAAAGGCTAATCACAATCAGTCAAAGAAAGAGAAATAAAGGAAAACTTTTCAGAGTAGAAATAATATAGAAATCAATAGTAATATGTAAATAGACGCAAATTCGATCCGCATTTCGCTTATGAAGTTGTCTGCGTGCTCATAAAAATGGTCACAAGAATTTTTCGAAGATAACAAAAGTACTGGCCGATAACACGTCCAATGCGGTGAATTAGGGTTGAGCACACGTCAAGGAGTTCTAAACAGGACTGCTTCGCATTTGTCTGGGACAGGTGGGAGGGTGGAGAGAGGGGAAGAGATTAGTGCATATATAGTGGGTGGGATCAGGGTGATGAT